CTCTTCAGAAACTGACGCTTGACCTCTGACTTCTGAATCTCAGATGAACCCAAGCCCTACACCCTGGGAGACTGGGTGATGAAGCCCACAGGCCTGTCGAGAAGGCCTTGGGCCAGGTCCCCACTCCAGGTGATGGGGATTTAGCTGTTCTAGAAGGTGAGACATACTAAACGTCTGTCAGCTGGTGGTATGTATCTCAAGGGCCAGTTTTGGAGGGGGAGGTGATTTTCAGTCAGATTTTACTAAGCATGTGACGTTTGAGCAGAGGCTTAAAGGAGGAGGAGGCAAGCCATGTGGCATCGACAGAGCATTTGAAGAGAACAGCATGTCCAAAGGCCCTGAGGTGAGCATTTGCTTGACCAGTTCAAGTAATAGCAAGGAGCTAACATGGGCTAGAGTGGAGGGTTCTGGTGTTTACTCTGAGGGGCATTGGGCAGAGCAGAGATGGAATCTAACATTTTTGTGTGGGCCAATACTGGGCTTAAATGCAGGCCTTCATGCTCTAGCTCAGCCTTTTCTGCTTATGGTTGGTACTTGACCACTTGAGCCAGGCCTCCAGTTCCAGCTTTTTGCTGGTTAATTGGAGATAAGTCTCAAGGGTTTGTCTACTGGGCCATCTCTGAACCTTGGTCTTCAGATCTCAGCTTCCTGAGTAGCTAGGATCACAGGCATAAGCACCAGCACCTGGCTGAATTGTACTATTTTAAACAAATATTCAAAGGGCCTGACTCAAGTTAAAACCTGACTTGTCTTTAACAGGCTCCCTTAACGGTGTGGAGAAAGGGTTGGGACAAGGGACAAAGCCAGCAGAGCTCAATGAGGAGGTGACGAGGCCGTTCCCAGAGAATGGTACTGTGGGTGAGGAAGCAGCCTCGCTCTGCCAACAGGGAGTGTGAAGGAGGACCCATCGCCATCTTGTGTGGCTTCAATCAGGCTTGTGAAAGTCAGGATCAACTCCAAGAATGGGAGAGTGAAAAGAGGCTGTGGCCTGGGGTGGAGAAACCAAGGCACCAGAAAGCGATGTGCAGAGACTAGAACCTGGTGAGGGTTGAGACATCCAGGGGCCCTGAGATGTGGAAGGTCCTGGCTGGAGAGACAGAAGTCAGGATGGTCACTGCAGCTAGTATTTAGCACAATACTCCCCGCCCCCCACATTCAGGTGTGCACAAATCCCCCAAGATCAGTGTGTGTGTGTGTACACGCACGTGTACACATGCATGAAAACAAGTGTGTATGTGCACACCACTCCAGTACTGAGACTTGAACTCAGGGTTTCACACTAGCACTTTATCATCTAAACCATAACTCCCAGCTTTTTGCTGTTTAATTGGGGAAAATAGTCTCAAAGACTTTTCTATCCAGGCTGGCGTTTGAGTATCTAGCACCTAGCAAATCTCCCGGATCCTGAGGGAAAAAAAAATCAAAATGCAGGCTCTATTTAGCAGACTGGGGTAGGGCTGAGGCCCTGCACTACTAACAAATTTCCAGAAGATACACAGACTGCACTCTGGGTAGCAAAGTTCTAGCACATTATATTGACGGCTGAGACCCACTGGTGGGTACCAAAATCTAGAGAGGCCCGAGGTCCTTAGCAAATGGAAATGGCAGGGATGGACAGATTGCCCCATGAGGTCATTGCAACCAGATAAGTTCATAGACAGTTCTTCCATTATCTGACTCTGAGTGCCGGAGATTATTTGTCCCAGTGCTGGGATATGATGTCATCAGGGTCACAAAGCTCTGAGAAAACCTGATTTGGAAGTGAGAAGGGAAGGGGCCTGGGGACCAATGCAGAGGAATAGATAAGGTGACCGGAGACATGGGATGGAAACCAGGATGGAATATTCTGGAAGCCAAAGGAATACTTCTAGGCCCAGATTTGGCTTTGTCCTCTGCCTCTCTCCTGCATGTGTCCTAGCATACCTGAGCCTTATTTTCTTCCACATGACTGTTGTGGCCCTTTAGGTGGGTATGAAGGGGATCTTGGCATGCGATCAGGCCAGCCCATGAGTGGTAGAGCATTTGAATTCTTGTTTGAATTTCTCCAGGCCAGCAAGCTGCCCTTCCATTGTACAAATGAAGAAACTGAGGTCCCGGAAGTAGAAAGGGCTTACTAGAGGACCCCTGGCCAGTTCAGGGCAGAGTTGAATACCCAGACTCCTGGCTGATGAGGGTCTTACTCATCTGTTATCAACAGTTCCTGGCTCTGGACCAGAGCTGGAGCCAGACAGCCGCCTAGGGGTTCCCTGGGGACCTCCTGAAATTCCTTCAGTGGCCAGGAGCCAGGGTGAACGTGCTCCATCCCTTCCTGCAGTCCAGACCTTCCCGACCCTCCAGGAGGAGGAAGAAGCAGAACGCCCCCTGTGGGGTACAGGCACAGCAGGCCTGGCAGGCGGCCACCACAGGTCTCCTGATGTGTGGCCAGGCCACACCTGAAAATATCTGTATTCGGGCCCTGGCAGGAAACAGATGGCACGTTCCTAGGGGGATGGCATGGGGAGAATGTGACCAGGTCTGTTTACACAGCGGAGGGCAGGTAGGGGTAGCCACAGAGGCTAGGCAGACCCCCAGGGCTGGCAGAGACAGCCTATAACCAACCACTCAGCCTGAAGGGAGAGGAGAGGAGCGGATTTCTCAGCTGGATAGGGTCATGCAGAGCCACGTGGGGATGGAACCAGAGGCTGCGTCTCCCCTCTCCTCGCCTTGTCTCTGATTTCCAGGGGCTGGGCTGGGTGGAAATGTGGACTCGGCTTGGGGGCATGGGTAGAACATGTGGGTGGGTGGCAATCTGTGGACAACTAACCCCCCGTCTGTCTCTGGCCACATGACCACTGAACTTCTGGGGGACAGGAGAACCAGGCAGGACTGGCCTTTTCTATTAGAGACCAGGAACAAGGCCCACTGCTCTGTGCCTCAGTGTCCCCAGGCATCCATGACTTCATCCCTGCCTTCCCTTTGAGAACATCTCTTTTTCACTGTACTCAGGGGCTCAAAGGCCCCAGCTCCTATGCAGGAACACAGCAGTGTAAATATATATTTATGTGATGTCAAGCCAGGTGCTGGTGGCTTGTGCCTGTAATCCTAGCTACTCAGAAGACTGAGATCTGGGGATCTGTGGTTCAAAGCCTTGGCAGGAAAGTCTATGACTTTTATCTCCAATTAACCAGCAAAAGGCCAGCAAAAAGCCAGAAGTGGAGCTGTGACTCAAGTGGTAGAGTGTCAACCTTGAGTCCTCGAGTAAAAAAGCTCAGGACAGCGCCCAGCCTTAGAGTCTCCACCTGACAGCCAGGGTGGGCCTGGTAAACCTCAGGGAGCCTCGGCTTCCTCCTCTTAGCCTTGCCTAACGGAACCTAGGAACCAACTGGGGTGTCTGTGGGGATGAAGGGCTGATAAGGTGAACGCCTAGGGTGGGCCCTAGGGCACAGTTCACCCCAAGGCTGGAGTAACTGTCCTCTGGCACAGACTCTGCTCAGGACCTGGAGATACCTCCTGGCCACCCTCATCTCCCGTTCAGCCTCCATGACTGCAAGGGGCTTCCTGATGACAGGTGTGCCCAGGCTTGGCTGGGTGATCTACCCTCTGCCACGACCCTCACCCAAGGAGCGCCACCCTTGCAACCCACCCTTGCCAACTCTGGCAAAGACAAACGGCTGCTCCGGTTACGGGGGCAGCCAGGACTCCAGCCTCCTCCCACCTGGGCCTCCATTTTTTTTGTGATGCAGGCCTGCTTCATCTCATATGTGACAATGTGGCCTCTCAGAGCCCAGAGTCCATGGCTCCTGGTGGCCCTCGGGAGAAAGTCCTGACATTTCAAACCTTCCCAGAACAGGACTACAGGCTCTCCAGGCTTCCTGTTCCTACCACACCCTTGCTTGTCCTGCAGTGGTCTGCCCACTTCCTGCCTCTGCGCCTTTGCCCAGGCTCGTCCCTCTGCCTGTCATGCCCACAAACCCCTTTCTTTCAATTCAGGTGGTTCAGGTTACCTGCTCCGAGCTCCCCTGGGTCTGACTCCACGTCCTGCCTGTGACAAGCGTCAGGTAGGCACACAGTGGGTGCTTTGTGTTTGTAGGGTGAACACCGCAAATGGGTTTGATGGACAGGGATTTGCCATCCTAGCTTGGGGGACACTGATGGGCAGCGCCTCCTGTAGGCCAGGCCCAGGGCTCAGCTCTGTGGTGCTAGGGCCCTGGAAATTCCATTCCCAACAGCATGGTGGTACCCCCACTTTGCAGGCAGGTGGCTGAGGTGGGGGGCCCAGCCCCCAAATAGAAACACCGCGAAAATTCTTTCTTAAAATGAACTTTCATCTTGCTTGCTTGCTACAAGTAGGAGAAGATACAAACATGTGGGCTTGGGCTCTATCTAGGCCCAGAGACCCCAGCCCCAGCTTCCATGCGGGGCCAATTTGAGAATGTTTCTTTGCTCTCTGGGCACGTTTCCCTGTTCACAAGAGAAGGGGTACCAGAGCCTCGTGTCCCCACACAGAAGCGGACCTGCTCAAATCCAACTCCACCATCTTTTAGGACCTCATCAGGTCTCAGTTTCCTCATCTGTAAAAGAGGAGGCCTGCATTCTTGGAGCTGTGAGGTCCCAGAAATGGATTCAGCCGGGGCCTCTCAGATCTCCTGGGTGGGCTATCAGGGTAGTGATGGTTTTCATCTGTGGGTGCCAGGTGGGCCCCCACCAGCCAGTCTCGGGAGGGTGGGTGTGTAGGGAGACAAGGCCAGAGCCTGGGCCCTCCCACAGCCTCCCCCATCCCAGGGCCCCCCACCCAGCCACAAAGCCTGTGGTACTTCCTCTAGCCCGCCTGGCAGACGGCCTGGCCCAGCCCCTCGGGCTAAGGAAGCGCATTTCCTGCCTCCCTGGGCCGGGCTGGATGAGCCGAGCTCCCCGCCGCTGGGAGCTCATTGCTCAGCCTCCCTCCGAACCCCATCCCAGGCCAGCACTGCGTCTGATAGCTGTCCCCAGGAGTGCAGCGCACCCTCCCTGCCACCCTCCAGCCTGTGCCCACTTCTCCTGACCCCTCGGCCACCACCCCAGAAGGCTGGAGCAGGGACGCCGTCACTCCGGCCGCCTGCTCCCCTTGGGTCCCCGTGCGAGCCCACGCCGGCCCCGGCGCCCACCCGCGGCCCTGCCTCTGGACACTGGATAAGGCCCAGCGCACAGTCTCCGGGGTGGACAGCATGCACCGCAGCGCGCTCTCGCTGGCTGTTGTCCTGCTACTGGCCATCTGCGACCTCGGCCGGACAAGTAAGTGTCCAGGGGCCCAACTTAGGCCCCCACCCCCATCCCTGCACCTCCTTCCTGAACTCGTGGGACATGGAGCCACCTCAGGGGCTTTGGGGGACATGTGGGGTCCCCAACCATCCCAATTTGCCTGGAGACTAAGTGATTTCACAGGCCATAGGACTTGGCGTGTTCAAAGTCACAGGCCAAGTGGGACAAGTTATTTACCTCAGCCCTGGCCCCAGGGCTCTGTGCTCCCAACTGTGCCCATGTGCCATGTACCATCTGCAGCCCTGGATGAGTACCCTACCCCCTCTGGGCCTTGGGTGTCCTATGAAGAAGGTAGGAGAAGAAGGAAGCAGCTGGAGACCAGCTTCTGGACACATGGAGGGGTTGAGAGCAGTTTCCCCCCGGCGGGTAGTGAGGTCATGCTTGCTCTGTGTCTGTTATTGTTGTCTTGCGGCTAGCTTGAAATCCTCCCACCTTTCCCGGGCCTTTGAACTTCCCCAGAGCCCTACTGAACAGGTCGAGGTCGGGGTGCCCTACCCCTGCCTTTCCCCTCCTCTTTTCTGTTCCCCAAGAAAGGTGTGGGCTCAGGCTAGGGGCTCTACAGGGGGCTCCTCAGCCTGGCTCTTTTCCAGAGTCCTGATCTAGGCTGCCTCACTGAAACTAAGCAGGGGAGGGGTCCTGGGGAGCCCCCTAAGCCCAGGTGCTGCTCACTGCTGGGCCAGGCTCCTCAGCCAGCCCCGGGGCCTGCCCTCAACTCATTTTTGCTCACCTGCATATCCAGGGACTTCCTCGGGGATTTGTGGGGGCACAAAGCAGCATCAGTGGTCAGGGGCCATCTCCAGCATTTGAAAGTCTCCAATCTTTAGTCTATAAAGCACTTGCGGCCACCTCACTAGCAACCAGAAACAGAGTCTCAGAGGCCTTGAGGAACTAGGCGAGGCTTGGACTTCAGACTTGAGGCTCCCAGCACCGTGTTTCTAACTATGAGCTATGTAATCCCCTTACCCATGACCCTGCAAGATGGCTGCCTTTATGGCCCCATTTCACAGAAGAGGAAATGGAAGTTCTGATCACCTGAGCTCGCAGCCATAGCTCTGTGCCTCCATCCTCTTGGTTGCTGGTGACTTAAGGGGTGGCCCAGACTGCTAGGATCTGGTTTTATAGGATGGAGGGCAGTGCTGTGCTGGTATATATTCAGCAATGGAGCAGGGCTGGATTTATAACATCTGCCAGTTTCTGTGGTATAAATATTCCTTCAGAGATGTCTTCCACCCTCCTCCTCCAACTCGGAAAAGACAGTACCAGTCGCACCATGATCTTGCATATTTCCCACAGATATGATATACCAGCTCACCATAAGAACCTAGATAATTAAGAGGTGATGCATTTTGATGTTTATTATCTTCTCAAAAGTAGATAATTTAGCTGGGTGCTGGTGGCTCACGCCTGTAATCCTAACTACTCAGGAGGCTCAGATCTGGGGATCGCAGTTCAAAGCCAGCCCAGGCAGGAAAGTCCGTGAGACTTTTATCTCCAATTAATCACCTGGAAACTGGAGGTGTCACTGACTGAGGCTCGAGTGGTAGAGGTCTGGCCTTGAGCTGAAGAGCTCAAGGACAGTGCCCAGGCCCAGAGTTCAAGCACCATGACCAATAACAACAAAAAGGTAGGTAATTTAGAGCCAGATACCAATGGCTCATGCCTGTAATCCTAGCTACTCAGCTCTGAGGATCTGCAGTTCAAAGCCAGACTGGGCAGGAAAGTCTTATGAGATTCTAATTTCCAATTAACCAGCAAAAGGCCAGAAATGGAGGTATAACTCAAGTGGTAGAGCACTAGGCTTGAGTGAAAAAGCTCAGGAACAGAGCTCAGGCCCTGACTTCAAGCCCCATGACTGACCTCCTTCCCTCCCCCCAAAAAAAAAGGTAACTTAGAGATAGGGGTGTAGTTGAGTGTAGAGCACTTGCCTAGCATATGCAAAGGCCTGGGTTTTATACCCAGTACTCTGTGTGTGTGTGTGTGTATGCATATATATATATATATATATATATATGTATGTATATATATATATACACACACACACACATGCAATATATATTATTAATTGCATTATATACTTTTAAATTGTAATATATAATATGTTTTTTAAATTATGTTTGTGAGACTTAATAATAACCATGTTTACCAGGTCCTGATGGATCACACTTATCTAGATTCCAAGCTAGTCAAGAGGCTGAGATGTGAGGACTGTGGTTCAAAGCCAACGTAGGCAGAAAAGCTTTGATTTCATCTCCAATTAGCCAGCAAAACTCCAGGCTGGAAGTAATGGCTCAAGTGGTAGAGTATCAGCTGTGAGCAAGAAAGATGTGATTATGAGTGAGGCCTTGAGTTTAAACTCTTTTTTTTTTGGGGGGGGGGTCCGGTTGTGGGGCCTGAACTCTGGGCCTGGGCGCTGTCCCTCAGCTCTTCAGCTCAAGGCTAGTGCTCTACCACTTGAGCCACAGCGCCACTTCCAGCTTTTTTCTTTTTGCTTATGTGGTGCTGAGGAATTGAACCCAGGGCCTCAGGCATGCAAGGCAAGCGCTCTACCACTGAGCCACCTTCCCAGCCCCGAGTTTAAACTCTTGTACCACCCAAACAAAAGAAAAGCATATGTAGAGTTAAAGAATAATTTAACTATATATTTGTCTTAGCATAGCCTTCAAGTCCAGAGAACTGAGAATATTGCTTGGTGGCAGAATACATGCTTAGCATGTTTAAAGCCCTGGGTTCAATCCCCAGGAAGGTTTAGTGGGTTGCTTACTTGTCTTTGTCGAGCTTCTTCAGGTAATTTTAATCCAGGCAGACCAGCCTTTTTACATCCTGTGTTCCATGTTCCGTCGTAGTCACCCTTTGGATATTCTCTTCTTTCTATGTGCCATCATTGGAATAATGCCACCCCCATTGTTGAACATTTAGGTGCTTTCCCCTTTTGTTCTGGTTATAAATACCACCTCAATGCACGCTTTTCAGGCACGCACCTTTTCCTGTATTTTGCCTTATTTCATCTGGAGACAGTCCCAGAAGCTGGAGGTGCTGGGGCTCATGGCCTCAGCTGGGTGGCAGGGATTAAAGAGTTCCTTAAGGGAAGGTAGGCATCATTTGCCTGATGATAGGACAGAGGTGTAATTTGGAGCCCCTGTGTTGCCAACTACCTGACTGGAGGTCTAGGACTCCCTGCAGCGGGGCTGGTGGCACTGGGCAAGGACCACAACACCCCAGTGTTGAGGCCATATTCCAGGCAGCTTCTCATCTGCCAGGTAGAAAAAATCTGGGTCAAGGGCCATGGTGGCCAGCAGAGGGTGAGGTCCCGGGTCAATGGGGACCTATATGAAGATTTTCCCTCATCTCAGCTAGACAGACAGTGACACTAAGACTCAGAGAGACAGAGGGACTTGCTCAGGGTCACACATAGGTCAGTGCTGGGCCCTTGGAGGACAGGCCTGGTCCATGTGTTCTGGGGCCTTGGGATAGATCTGGGTAAACAGCTAGGGCTTGAGCCATGGGCCTGACCACTGTACCACAGCAGGGGAGATGACAACACCTTCCCACAGCCTGATCTCACCCCAGGAGTTGACCCTCAATCCCAGAATAGTGGAACTACTTGATGCAAGTCGTCCTGCAGGTCAGAGCCTGGGCGCTGTCCCTTAGCTTTTTCATTTGAGGCTGGTACTCTAGCACTTGAGCCACAGCTCCACTTCTGGCTGTTTGTGATTAATTGTAGACAAGAGTCTCTTAGACTTTCCTACCTGGACTTGTTCTGAGCCACATTTTCTTTTCTTTTCTTTCTTTCTTTTTTTTTTTTGCCAGTCCTGGGGCTTGAAATCAAGGCCTGGATACTGTCTCTGGGCATCTGTTGCTCAAGGCTAGCACTCTACCACTTGAGCCACAGTGCCAGTTCTAGCTTTTTCTGCTTATGTGGTACTGAGGAATTGAACCCAGGACTTCATGCATGCTAGGCAAGCACTCTACTATTCAGCCACATTCCCAGCTCACTGAACCACCTTGGTTCTAGATCCCTCCCTGCTGAGTAGCTAGGATTACAGACACGAGCCCACCGATGCCTAGTAGATCCCTTAACTTTGCAACTCCACCTGAAGCTACAGCATATTAGCTTGACCCAGTAGTCTCTGGGAACCCATGGGAAAGACAGGCACAAGGGAGATTTGAGTTGTTGGGAGATAAGAAATCCATGAGACTGCTATTGAAAGAAGTGAAGGGTGGCTGGGTGATTTGTGGGTGGCTGAAGAAGACTTTTCAGCCTAGAAGACTCTTGTTAGAAAGCATCTACCTTAGTCGGGTGCCAGTGGCTCACGCCTGTAATCCTAGCTACTCAGAAGGGCTGAGATCTGAGGATCACGGTTCAAAGCCAGCCTGGGCAGGAAAGTCCATGAGACTCTTATCTCCAATAAACCATACAGAAAACTGGGAGTGGCACTGTGGCTCAAGTGGTAGAGCTCTAGCCTTGAGCTGAAGAGCTGAGGGACAGAACCCAGACCCAGAGTTTAGGCCCCACGACCGACCAGAAAAAGAAAGCATCTGCCCTAGTGTCATGAATTCTCAGATACTACATACAAAGTACCCACAAGTGCTGTCTGAGCACTTGACATGGGCTCCTGTATCAGACCGACTGCATCAGACAGACACACAGCCTATGAGGCACAGGCTGGGTGCTAGAGATGGATGACCAAATTTCCAATTACAGCCCAGCCACTGATGAGTTGGGATCCTGGGGCCAACTCCTTAACCTCCCCAATCTTACCTGGGTCTAAAAGCTGCTAACCTTGCTGGGTGCTGGTGGCGCATGCCTGTAATCCTAGCTTTTCAGGAGACTGAGATCTGAGGATCATGGCTCGAAGCCAGCCTGGGTAGGAAAGTCCATGAGACTCTTATTTCCAATTAATCAGCAAAAAGCAGGAAGTAGAACTGTGGCTCAAATGGTAGAGCACTAGCCTTGAGCAAAAAAAAAAAAAAAAAATTCAGAGACAGTTTCTAGAGCCTGAGTTCACGCCCCAGGACTGGCATAAAAACAAAACACAACCCAAAAAACCTGCCAGCCTACCTAGGCAAAACAGCTGTGAGAGATGAGTCCCTTGGCTTCCAATGAATGTGTGGACATTTCTGCAGGCAGGAAACTCAGGCCTAGGTGCTCTGCAGTGCTTGACCTACTCAGGATGAGGCCCTGAGAGGTCCGCTTTTGCTCAAGGCCAGTGGTCATTGAAGAAGTTGAGCTGAGATTTAGTCTAGGCCACCTGGCTCCTGGGGCCCACTGTGGTCCCAAGAGAGACTTGGCCAAGTCTGGGAAGTGGACGTGTCCTGTGTGCTTGTGAGTGAGGAAGGAGGTGGAGAGGACAGTGGTGGAGAGGTTGTTCCAGGGTCTTTCATTCCGGAGGCCTCAGCACCCAGCCCCCCCCCCCCCCCCAGCAGGCGCCTCCTCCCACAGGTCCCAGGAGACCTCAGGCATTTCCCTTGGTGCCAGTGGATTGTTTTCAGCTGGTCTGGGCCCGCCTCGGGCTCTGGGAGACAGGCCCAGGCGTCATACTCCCTCCTGTCTCCCCATTCTCGTCTAAGGGGTGGGGGCAGCCAGGATTCGAAAAGGCCCCAAAATAAATGGACCTCTTATCTGATCTCCCAGCCTGGCCTGTTATCTGATCATTACATAATGGCTAGGCCTGTGGCCTCTCCCCCTGGCTGACCGCATGGAGGAGGTGGCCCCAGGCCGCCCGGCAGTCCGGGAGGAACTGGGGTTCCTGAAAGTCTGGGGAGGGGGCAGGGAAAGTCTGAAGGAAAGAAGGGAGGTGCTACACTCACTCATAAACCAGACCCTGGGTCCTGAAAGGGAGAGGGGTCTAAGACCCAGTTGGTCAGCCATGGTGTGTCTTGCTTGTCCAAGCCTCGGTCTCCCCATTTGCATAGGAGGTAACTTAGATGAAGTAATACCCAAGGAGCCAATGCTTAAGAACCAGTGGTAAAGGGGTGAATTGGAGGGAATAGTTGGAGAGGGCAATATCCCTTATCTATTGGGGTGGGGGGAACCCTAGTGGCCTCCCTCACAAAGGACCCTCACTGGAGGCCGCTCCTTCCCACAGCTTCACCCCAACCTTTAAGCAGTCAATTCTACAATGACTGATGGCCATAAAACAACCATGAAAAGTGTCATATGCCCTGTCTTATGGAGTCTTCCCAACAGCCTGGAAGAGTTATTTGGCCTCTATTCTTTTTAACATTTTTTTGGTGCTGGTACTGGGGCTTGAACTTAGGACCTGGGCAAAGCTATCCATTTGCTTTTTTTTTTTTTGGCTCAATGGTGGTGCACACTACTTGAGCCACAGCTCAATTTCCTGCTTTTTGGTGGTTAATTGGAGATAAGAGTCTCAGACTTTCCTGCCCAAGCTGGCTTTGGACCTCAATCCTCAGATCTCAGCCTCCTGAGTAGCTAGGATGACAGGCATAAGCCACTGGCACCCAGATGGCTTCTCTGCTTATTGTCACTCTACAGACTAAGTAATAAAGTCTCAAGTTGTTCCTCAAAGTTATACACATTAACTGAATCTCAGGCATCAGGCATGAGATTCCGAGCCAGGTTGTCCTGGCTTCAGGGACCCTAAATACCACATAGCCCAGACACTCCACAGTCGCTGGCATGCTCAGGATGAGACTGGGTCCCACTAGTGGCCAAATGTCCTTGTCCTACTCTTTATCCAATCATGGATAAAGACTGGTGTTGTCATGGCAAAGGGTGGCCATTTTCCATCCTTCTCTGACTTTGGATGGTCTGAGCCCAGCAAGCTGTGGAAAGGTGGGGAAGGAGGCTGGGTGAAGCTATAGACAGCCAGGGGTGCAGGAGGAGGCTGGCTGCCCCCTACTTGGGCTGGCGTCAGCTGGCTGTGAAGCCAGGCCCTCCGCGCCCATCTTTGATCTCCAAGAAAACAGGAAGTGAGCGCGACAAGATGGAGACACAAACTTCCAAACAGTCTCCCCTTCTCGGTCCTCTTTCCCTCCTCCATAGCCCCCCTTCCTCCGGCACATTCCTTAGGACGAGGTGTAGGGGACTCATTTCCTTTTCCTCCTCTGCTGGGTCATGGTGACATTCCATTCCTTTCCCTTAGGACCTGTGTGTTTCCGTGCCACCCGGCCCCCTCCCCCCCCTTCAACTCCAGGCTCTGAGGCCTGATCTATCCCCTCCTTCCAACTGGAAGGAGTCACCTGGCTCAGATGACTCTCAACCTTTCCAGCCATTCCTTCCAGGGCCACCTTAGTGGCAGAGAGGAGACACTGCCTTCTCAGCTGAGCTCACCTTCCTTGAATCTTGGGTCTCCGATGTGCATCCTGCCAGTTACAGGGAAGTGGAAATAAGAAAATAGAGTGTATGGGCTGGGAAGATGGCTCAGTGGTAGAGCGCTTGCCTTGCATGCCTGAGGCCCTGGGTTCGATTCCTCAGCACCACATAAGCAAAAAGAAAAAAGCCAGAAGTGACGTTGTGGCTCAAGTGGTAGAGCGCTAGCCTTGAGCTGAAGAGCTGAGGGACAGCGCCCAGGCCCAGAGTTCAGGCCCCACGACCGGACCCAAAAAAAAAAAAAAGAAAATAGAGTGTTCAGGAAGGCTTGGACTTCAGATACACCAAGTCTTTGTACTATAAGGCTATCCTATGCAATTTAGGATCTCCTTATAGGATAAAAAGTTATTCAAGCTGGGTGCTGGTGGCTCAGGCCTGTGATCCTAGCTAATCGTGGTTCAAAGGCAGCCCGGGCAGCAAAGTCCACACAACTCTTTTCTCCAGTTCACCAGCAAAAGGCTGAAAGTGTGGCTCAAGTGGTAGAAGCTCCGGCCTTTATCAGAAAAGCTAAGCAAAAGCAGAGGCCCTGAGTTCAAGCCCTAGTATCTATTGGGGTGGGAAGAACCCCAGTGGCCTCCCTCACAAAGGACCCTCACTGGAGGCCGCCCCTTCCCACAGCTTCACCCCAGCCTTTAGGCAGTCAATGCTACAATGACTGATGGCCATAAAATACCCATGAAAAGTATCATATGCCCTGTCTTTTGGAGTCACAAGAAAACATTATACGTCATTGGAGGACTGTGACCTGAACAAGAACTAAATATTTGGTTATTGAGCCACACCCCCAGCCACATGACTTGTTCTTAGCTGACCCTTTCTCCTGTTCTTCTCCCACAGGTCTTGCAGAAAAAGTCCATTGTGATCTACAGCCTGTGGACCCCAAAAGGGGTGAGGTGACATATGCCACCAGCCATGTCCCAAAGGGCTGCGTGGCTCAGGTTCCCAATGCTGTCCTTGAAGTCCATATCCTCTTCCTGGAATTCTCAAACGTGAGTGCCCTGGCAGAAGTCAGGTGGTCTCCAGGAACTTGGGATGAGGGGTGCCTTCCTCTGGCCTTCCTTGGAGCAGAAGGCTTCAACGGGGCTTTGCCTGGTGTTCACAGGGGTGTCATTTCTGGTGATGGGGTCAATTTTCTGGTGACAACCAGAAGAGGGCAGGGACTGGCTGCCACCCAGGTGGACAGTGTGTGTAGGCGAGCTGGTGCCTGTGCCCTTTTAATGTGGGCATCCCCACAGCTTCCCAGAGAGCTTGGCTCCACTTTAGGCACCTGGACTGTCCCCATCAAATATGTGCGACCCAGTGGCTCACACCTGTAATCCTAGCTACTTGTGAGACTGAGATAGGAGGATCATGGTTCAAAGCCAGCCTCGACAGGAAAGTCTGTGACTTCTTTTTTTTTTTTTTGCCAGTCCTGGGGCTTGAACACAGGGCCTGTGCACTGTCCCTGAACTTTGGCTCAAGGTTAACACTCTACACTACTTGAGCCACAGCACTACTTCCAGCTTTTTCTGTATATGTGGTACTGAGGAGTCAAACCCAGGGCTTCATATATGCCAGGCAAGTCTACCACTGAGCCACCTTCCCAGCCACAAGTCTGTGAGACTCTTATCTCCAATTAACCAACAAATAGCTGGAAAGGGAGCTATGGCTCAAGTGCCAGAGCACCAGTCTTGAGTGAAAAACTAAGAGATAGCATCCAGGTCCTGAGTTCAAGTATCAGCGTGCACACACACACACACACACACACACACACACACACACACACACACACAGTGACCCTGAGTTCAAGTATCAGGATACACACACACACACACACACACACACACACACACACACACACACACACACAGTGACCCTGAGTTCAAGTATCAGCACACACACACACACACACACACACACACACACACACAGACCCTACCAAATAGCCTCTGAGATCTAAAACCCAAACCACCAGGGCCAGCCTGGAGCTTGGTCTCCAGAAGAGCCCTCTGGAGACTTCCCTTTATCTTGTCTAAATTTGTCTCTTCTAATAATATGTGTGTCAATGCTTAGGACCTGCTGGGTGCTGGGCTTAGTATCTGCCAGACACTGAGCATCTTTCAGGGATTAAGCCTTGCAAGGGCTAATCTGCAAGCATCTGGTTATTATCCCCACTTCTCAGAGGAGGAAACTGAGGCTGGCCTTGGGAGGGGAAGCACAGTGGGAAGGCCAGAGTTCATATCAAATACTCCTCAGGGACTTCAGGGCCAGGCTGTCTCCTGGCTCTCCAGGGAATCTCAGCACTCAGGTGGCGCTGGCTTTTCTGGGCTGAAGGCCATACCTGGCTGGTGTGTCCTTAAGTCCTTCGAGTGATTTATCAGTCTTGACTCAGGGAAGACTGTGGCCAACCTGCCCCCAGAACTGTTGGGCTGACTTGGCATTTGTGCAGTGATAAGAAGATGCCCAGACCACCAATATCGGGGGGCCCTGCTCCCCACCGCCCTGCTTGCCATGATGACTGTGAGTTTTGATAATTCCAAAGCTTCAGAGAATGCCAAACACGGTTTAGGTGGTTTTTATTGGTGCTGTAATTTGTTGTTTAATTTGCTAAAGACTTGGAAAATAAGATTGCCTTCTGTAAGCTCATCTTGTTTATTCTCATGTTTGGGTCCTGCCCCTCTTCTGAGTAACTGAGTTTTCTGGACCCTGATCACCCAACAGCAGATCAGAGGAAGGCTCCAACCCTGTGTTCAGGTCTATGGGAGACAGGTGGGCAGACAGGAAGACTGCTGAGTTGGCAAGGATGCACACACAGGGCAAGGCGCTGCTGCAGCTATGGGGTTAGGCTTCCCGGGCTTCCTGGAGGAAGCAAGACAAAGGTCGATCAGGAGTGCAGCCAGTGGTGGGAAGAGCAGAGAACTGGCCACTGAGGGAGGCAGCCCTGGTGGGATTTGGCATGTGGTAGCTTGTGGCTCACCTGAGGGCATACAGTTAGAAAAGGCCTGGCTTTATCTACAGGCAATGACAGCCACTGGGGGAGTGTGTGTGTGTGTGTGTGTGTGTGTGTGTGTGTGTGTGTGTGTGTGTGTGTACATGTGTGCATGCTCACACACGGGTGCATATGTGCCTGTCCTGGGGCTTGAACGCAGGGAGTCAAGCTCTTGCTTAGATTTTCCTCTTAGCATTGACATTCTACCACTTGAGCCATACTTCCACTCCTGGTTTTTCGCTGGTTAACTGGAAATGAGTGTCTTAAATTAGTCTTTCTGGGCTGTGAGTTAAGGAATTGAGAGTCTCAGGTCTCAGCCTCCTGAGTAGCTAGGATTTACAAGCATGAGCACCAGTGCTTTGTCAGTAAGTTTTAGTCCAAGGATTCTTGAAACTCATAACAACAGAAATCTCCCTTGTCTTCTCCCAAGAACTCAGTTTGCAATGTACACAACTTGTAATTCAAAGTCAAGCACTGAGGTCCTGGAATGCAGGGCTATGAGTTTGAGGAGGTAGAAGAGAATGCTGGAGCCCAGGAGTTCCAGGATCTAGTCCTGGATCTGTCACTGGCCAGCACTTTTCTTAGTGGCTGGTAGTAGAAGGGTGACCCCTACCTTTCTCTGGTCAGGAGCTTATGAAGAATTTGGGGGCAGCAGAGTTGGGCCCAGGGCCTGGCATATATCAAACAACAGTGTATGTGTGTATACCTGAAAGCGCTACAGTGTTTGCAAGGGTTTGGAACAAGGTTCTAGCTAAGCACTGTGGTGCATTCCTGTAGTCCTGGATACTCAATGAGGCAAGAGGATCATTTGAATACAAGTATTACTACATCACTCAGTGTGGCAATGTAGTAAAATCCCCATCTCAAAACAAAACAAAATAAATCAAAGCAACAGTATGTGTGTGTGTGTGTGTGTGAGAGAGAGAGAGAGAGAGAGAGAGGAGGGGGGAGGGAGAGAACACATGTCCTGAAGCCGCACAGTCCTCCAATTGAACCTTGGCTGACCTCTCCTTTGTTTCTTTTTCTTTTCGTGCTCCTGCTGGGGCTTGAACTCAGGGCTTCATGCTCACTTGGTTTGCTTGCTCCGTTGTCACTCTACCACTCAAACCATCCCTCCAACCTGAAGTCTTACCAGCGCACCGTAGATGGGATTTTGCAGACTTTACTTTTCTGCCTGGACTAATTTAAAATAGTCATCCTCCAATTTCAGTCTCTTGAGTAGCTAGGATTACAGGTGTGGGCCACGTGATCTGGCCTTGACTAACTCCTTAAGGTTACATCCCCTTGGACCACCTATCCAAACCTTAGAAAGAGATGATGATAATAGTTCCTACCTCATAGGGTTGCTGGGAGATTACTGTGGGACAAGGCCTGTGCTAGTCCTGGGGGGTTGAACTCAGGGCCTGGGTGCTGTCTCTGAGCTTCATTTTGTTCAAGCCAGCACTCTACCACTTGAGCCACAGGACCACTTCCAAATTTTTCTGAGTAGTTTATTGGAGATAAGAGTCTTGGCTGGCTTCAAACCATGATCCTCAGAGCTTAGTCTCCCATGTAGCTAGGATTATAGGCATGAGTCACTGGTGCCCAGCTCATTTGTTTTTTTAATGCCAGGACTGGGACTTGAACTCAGGGACTGGGCTTGCCCCTTAGCTTTTTCATTCAAGGCTTGTGCTCTAACAGAATGGAGCCACTGCTCCACTCTGGCTTTTGGTGGTTAACTAGAAATAAGAATCTCAGCTGGGCACCAGTAGCTCATGCCTGTAATCCTAGCTACTCAGGAGGCTGAGATCTGAGGATCGCGGTTCAAAGCCAGCCCGGGCAGGAAAGTCCATGAGACTCTTATCTCCAATAAACCACTAGAAAACTGGAAGTGGCACTGTGGCTCAAGCGGTAGAGCGCTCACCTTGAGCTGAAGAGCTCAAGGACAGTGCTCAAGCCCAGAGTTCAATCCCCACGACCGACAAAAAAAAAAAAAAAAAAAAGAATCTTACTGGGCTTTCCTGCCCAGGCTGTCTTCAAATTTGTGATCATCAGGTCTCAGCTTCCTGAATAACTAGGATTCAGGTGTGAGCTACCAGAACCTGTCCACAGGCAAAATTCTGAGTGCAGGGCCTAGCCAGGTATAGCAGCTGATTGTTGCTATTGTTGTCACTGGACTCTACTTCTCACCTGTAAATGCCAGCATTCATCATATCAGCTGACTTGTTTGACTCTTAAAGGTGACCCCTCTAATAAAGATGGCACAAATCCATTTTCAGCCTCAAGGAGCTCAGCTGCCCCATGAATGCACTTGGCCTCCTTGTCCCATGATCCTGCCCTGTGGTCTTTGTGCCTGTGGAGCCTGGAGCTTCCCTGGGGAGCACTTTGCTTTCCTCGTAGCCCCAAGAAGAAGGTTCATGGTTCAACAGTCCCCTTCCGCCATCACTGGCCAGATGCTTGCTGTGTACCTGCTCCGGGGTAGGCGTCGAGGATACAGGCAGTAGAAGCAGACCCTGTCCTTGAGGGATACATCGGCCAGGGAAGGGGGCATCAGCGTCCTTGGACTTGTGTGTGATGGAACTGGCGATGGCATGGGGTGGGGGGCAAGAGTTGGGTGTGGAGAGAAGGGGCATTAGGGAGAAGGCTCTGTGCTCAGCCAGAGAGCAGGGTTATGGCACCAGGCCAAGAGCACTGCATGTACAAAGGCCTAGAGCCAAAAGCGTGGGCGCACTGTCTCTGCAGCCCGCCTGGTTCCTCCTGACCTATGGCCGCCTTCATCAGCCCCTGGCACAGAGAGATGGCTTTCCCATCCATCCCTGTATGGCCTCAGCACTTACCGATTTCCTGTGGGTGGTAGTCACCAAAATCCCCATGGAAGCAGTGTGTGTGTGTGTGTGTGTGTGTGTGTGTGTGTGTGTGTGTGTGTGTGTGTGTGTGTGTGTGTGTGTGTGTGTGTGTGTGTGTGTGTGTGTGTGTGTGTGTGTGTGTGTGTGTGTGTGTGTGTGTGTGTGTGTGTGTGTGTGTGTGTGTGTGTGTACGCGC